CTGAAATCTGTCTGGGTGAGGGTACCCGGGCTGCTGTGACTGCAGCCATTCTGCCCCGGGAAGCGCTGGATGGCAGCTGTCAAACCCCACCCTGGCGAGGGGAAGGCGAAGCCTCACGGCAGAGCTCCAGGCAAAGGGCAGCGAGAGCCCCGAGGATAAGGACACACAACCTCACGACCGGGAGATGCAGTGCTGGGTCCTTCCACCTACTTCCCATTTCCTAAGAGAATTTGGTGATTAAAAGCTTGACATACAGCTTTTGTAATTCCCTTCCAAGCTCCCACAAGCCAGTACGCTGCGCAACCAAATGCGTTTATTAACCAACCCAAAATTACCAAAATAAACCCAAAATGTAACCAAAACTACCACAAGTATACCCACGCTTTTTAAAACAAGGAGGACAAACTGTGAAATGCTGGATTTGATATTCCACACCTGTACTCTGCCCGTTGTGGAGGAGTTGGGATTTCAGAAATAACATACACCCACCTTTTCTTTCTCCCCGCAGAGCTGAGAAGGTGGTGAGCAAACACAGCTGTGGCAGAAGGGTACAGCCCACAGGGAACACCGCCTGAGATCGTAGTTCAAGCACCCCGTGGCTCCTCCAGTGGCTAAGTTACCAAAACTCATGTGAAACATATGGTACAGGATAGCAGCAGGACTGAGCTTCAAGCTCTAGGTAGCATTTTGCAAATATAAAAAGTACAAAGGGCCGCTGATCTCCTGGAAAATTCTTCCCCTACCCCTGCTTACCTGAGCATCCTGGGCTAACTAGGAAGCTGCTGCAAAACTTATACCTAATTCTGTATGGATTTGCACTTTATGAGAACCTGAATATCTAAACAATGATCTTGGGTTTGATTACGTGATAATAAAAAGGGAGAAGGCAGAGCCAAGGAAAAGCAGTTTTCACCACTGCCATCAACAGCAATATTACAGGTTGTAGCTTGAAAATCCCTCAAATTGACACGTATTTTCCTCTTCAAATTAATAAAAATGAGATGCAGCTCAAAATGAAGGTAAAAATTAAGCTGCTTCATTGCTACTGGCTCTTCTGACTGTTAACAGCCTTATTCTTTAGTAAATCCTTCCAGCAGAGCCCAGCTGCCCTTTAATCCACCTAGGGCTAGCTTGAGATCTCAAGCTCTCCTCATTACTCTCCACCTCCTACTCCTCACTGCAGTCTCCTTTAAACCTGTTCCTGCAGCTTCTCCCTCTAGTTTAGTATCTACCAACTAAAATTTTCACCTCTTCTTGCTTCTCCCCATCTTCCCTATGAGCTTGGAGCTTGTTGCATCAAGAACTTATTCCATTGTCCTCTAGTCTAAAGACAGCACAGAGAATGTCAAAATCCTGTATTAGGCTTTATTCTTTTATATAAACATTAACATTTCTCAAACAGATTAGTTAAAAATACAGATTTAAACAAGAATTTTTGCAATTGCAATGAGTTATAAAAAAACAACAGATTATTTTACAGATTGTTACAAGTGCTTTACAAAGGTGCAGAGTGAAGGCCAGTGGCAGGGGACCAACCTCAAGTGCAAAATGGACACGATACCCTCACCATGGGCATAGCGCTCAGATACACAGCCAAAAATAAAACAACAAACCCCAAAAAATAAACAAACAAACAAACAAAAAAAAGCCATGTGAACCTAGGCTCTTGGGATGCTCACCGGGCAAGCAAACATAGACCCTTATGACAGAGAAGACTCATGAGACCAAGCTACCAGGATGCTGAAGGTTACATCTCTGAGATCAGCCATAAGATGTTGTTTCTTGGGAAATAAGGAACACGTTTTACAGCAGCCTATTTCTCTTCTGTCAGACAAAATATTGCTGTAAATCCTAGAATACTTATCGACGTGGATACTTAAGAACTTGGGGCATAAATCCAGTGTGGATCTCACAGTGCCCAAAGTGAAGAAAGGATACAAGACTGAAGTGTCCTTCTAGAGCAGTTAGCACTTCTCATAGAGGAGGGAGCTCCACCACTATCACTAAAACCTCGAGCAAGTACCTTGGAAAGACTTTGGCAAAAGGAAGAAGACTCAAGTGGATCTGGATACGCCCAATATTCCTGCAGCCCATGATCTGAGTAGTGCAGCCCACAGCTCCTGCAATGCCCACTTTTCACTAAATGTCCTCTCTCCTTGGCCAATACCTCTTCACGCCCACCTTGGAACACATACCACATGCTCCAAATTCTTGGAAGTTTTTGAGATCCTTCCAGCAAAATTACCTTGCCTAGGTACCAGTCCTTCCCACCTATCCTCCTTCTATTCTAACCCTTAAGATAAAATCTATGCCCTGATTTGTTTTGAACTAAAGTTTTCCAGCTGTTAGCAAATCCAAAGGTAAAGTGTACTTGCTGAGAACCACGAGATAAAACTGCCACGTGTTACATGAAAACAAAAAATTCCAATACTTTATGCCTGACATCTGACATACAACTGTTCCCTACCCAGAGGGCTCCTCTGCTAGACAAAGGGCACTACACCTTATAGGAATTCTTTTTCCAAAGGAGGGCCAGAATGACAGGGCAGCTCTAGAGATGAAGTCTCATAATAAAGAAATAACAGCTACTTCTCCTGGAATCATTGTAAAGGGCAGCACATAAAAGAGATTTTATTTATAGGAAACCCAGTGAAACCCCTAGAACATCCACATTGACTTCCCTGAGCTCCTCAGATCCAGGTACACTGGGGACCCTGCAGAAGCCTTTTGAGCTGGGTTACTCTCAATAGAGAGGGTTTGGCAAGTTCCTGCAAATTCATTTTCATAATCAGCAAGAGAGGAGAGGATCAACGGGCAAGCCCTCAGGACATGCTTAAAGAGAAAGACTCTGAAGAGAGAGGTGTATGCGTGTGCGGGGGAGCTCTTCATTTCTACCGTTTGGAGACGTTTCCTGTGACTCCTCTGGGGTAGGGGCACTACACTGAAACCACCCCCAGCCCTCACCTACCCCAGCTGCCTCCTGCAGAAGTCTCACGACAACATCGAAACCTCTAGCTCGTCCCTCCCTGCGCTGCCCAGCCCAGAGCTGAGTGCTCTGGAGAGGGGGAGGCTGGCTTCTCGTTAGCAAGGGCTGGGAGGTGGGGTGAGAGGAGCACACTGGTGTGCCAGGAGCGTGCAGTCACTCGTGCACATCCCAGATCTCTGAGAGCAGGGGAGGGAGTTTCTTGTCCTGCAGCCGAAGGGCAAAGACCTGTTCGGAGTGGACGCTGCTTAGTGTTCGAAGACTGACCAGCTTCATTAGCATCCGTGGAAACATCAGATGGTCCTGCAGAGCCAGACAAATAGACACCTCTTAGGAAATTCACACTACAACTATGTTAAAAAAAAATAATTACCACAGCAGATGATGCATTATAACCCCAATCCTGACTTCCTCTACACCCAGCCATCTCCAGGCAGCAGCAGGGTGGAGGAACACCACTACTGCACCATGTCCTACAACTCCAGACTTTCCAACTATGGGACATGTCAGAGGACAGCATGCTGTGCCAGCTGACAAATCCTGCCTTTACAGCTACTACCAAACAGCCACAGGAGGGAAGAACATACCAGGACAGGCAGCAAGAGACCTGTTACAGGTGTTACAGGTGCCTCCATAAACAGAAAGTCTGTTTGCACCACCACTGGAGGTGTTCTGGCCAGGCACTTACATTTGGTCTGTTGATGCAAATGTATGAATGAAGAGCTTCCACATAGGTGTGCTGCAGCCTCTCCACCAGGGACTGGTCCTGCACGTTCGGTCGATCTGCCAAAAAGCAGGTTAGAAGTCAGTCCACGGCCCCAGGCAGCTTCACTGGATTTGACATACCTGCCTAACCCCAGCTCCTCAGTAGCCTCTCCCCAAAACCTCACGTTGATCCAATCTGACTCCTATAGATGTGGAAGGTTAGAGAGACCAAACACTTATCTAGTGCTGTTGACACATTCCTGTCCCAGTGAAGAGGAGAATTTGCCCATTCAGAAGGGAATGGGAAAGTCTCTCCAGCAGCTGAGACAGAAAATAGGAACAAAGAGTGTGTGTTTGGGGGAATCACCTTTGCAAGGTGGAAAACAGGAGTAGAGAGATGGCTTCTTGGCAAAGCCCTGTCCTGGCCCAGACCAACACTGGTCTTGCATCCAGAGCCTCTTTACTGCACCACTAGATGTCACTCATGCCCTGTGACCTCCATCACAGCAGCTCTGTGCCAGGTACTATTAAGGGGACAGTCAAATAGCAATTTCTAAATGAGGAAGATAAATATTGGCCGATTTTTCTACATATTTTTCCAGCAGTAGGGAATATGATTTCCTCTGGAGGTGGCACTAGGAAATCCAGAATCTACTGAATACCCTAAGCACAAGTAGTAACATGCTCCCTTTATCACTATATCCTATACACCTTCTATTACTCCTCTTCAGCTTGTAACCATCCTCAATTCTATTTTCTTTGCCACTGCTGCTGCTCTTCAGATCTCTTTGGCTTTTTACCTGCAGAGAAAATGTTGATGGCAATTAAAAGTGCATATTCAGCATCGTTGAGCTGTAGCTCATTCATTCCCTTTGAGAACTCAAAGATGGGGTTAATGAACTCAAACTGCAGACCTGCAACAAACAGAAGAGAACAAGTTGAGGCAACAACTGTCTCGTCTCTCTCTCTCCTACCCTCCCACAGAATAAGCTGCCAGAATCCTCCTGCAGTACACTGGGGAGTGGGGAGGACAGGCAGGAAAGGAAAACCCTTAAATTATGTTCCAGTTGTGGCTGAAACCTCCCTTTACATTCCACCACTAAGTTTGTCAAAAAGTCAGAAGTCCACAAGTAGATGTACACTTTCCACTCTCAAACCATCACTTCCTCCAAACTCAGCAGCCCTCTTGTTTTCAAAGGAAGCTTTAATCCCATGCTCCAAATTCATCTGAAGCCTAAACTGAAACTACATAGTTCTGAGAAGTTTGGGCTATGCCATTTCCTTCAGTTCAAAAAGCTGGGAGAGCTGAGGCAGAGCCTGACTTAGGCTTCTCATCACCTCCTCTGATAAATGCCATCAGGCAGAAACATGTTGATATTTACTGTTACTGTCATAACATACAGAGGCCACTGTCAAATCAGGCCTCCCTGTGCTAGGTGCTATACAATCATGCTGAAAATTTTAGGCCTCTCCCTGAAAAGAGCATCCAAATTTCCTGCAGTACAAATTGCATCAGAGAAGGATGAATGAGATGAACAGAATCTCTCTGGCTGCCTGCTTTTTGCCTTCCTAATAATCTGAAGAGAAGGCTAACAGGAAGAAGATAATTTTATATGAAAGCCAGCTCAGCTATACATGGTGAAACTCCCAAGCAATTTAAAAAAATATTAAAAATAAATAAATAAAATCACATGCAGGACAGTCAGAGTTTCATTTTAGAAATGCTGATGGTGCACACTTCCTATTACTTCATCTGAAATGACAGACACTCATTGCTCCTGGAAAAACAAGACTTCAGAAATCACATTTTTTTTTGAGCTGATGATGTGTCTAAAGCACTCTGTGGGGATCTTCAGTGCAGACTTCATGTCAGCTGAAACTTTACATACTCATGTCATCACTCAGAGCATGCACCCAGATGAGCAAGGGATATACTTGCAAAGGGGAGAAGGCTGGAGTTTGATTTGTTGTGATATGATATGGCTCTAAGACACATGGCCACATCAGATCTCAACCAGCAAGGAAGCTCACACCACCTGCTAGCCCTAGGTGCACTCTCACAGCAACATTTTCATGCTGTAAGAATCCAGTTATTCCAAAGCAAGTTCACACCTAACAAAGAACATGAACTGAGCTAGAACCACACGTTGAAAGCAAAAAATATAGTTTGTGGCACTATGGTGTGGTCCTGTTAACCTCCCACCTGATTTCAGCCTGCAAGCCCCACATTTTATCTCCTGCAGGCCACATTAAAAAGGCAAAGATCAGAGACCATGAGACAGGGAAGGAAGAAACACCTGTCTAATGCACCACCTGCTTTGGCGAAGTCATCCCGGTTGTAGCTCAGGTCCTTAAGAAAGGTGATGCTCTCAATCTCTGGATTGTAGCGCCGAGATGTCTCCAACAACATCACCTGAAACCAGGGACAGGAATACTTGATTGTAAAACACCAAAGAATGTTATGACATCTCTAACTTGCTCAGTGTTAGAGCAGCTCTGGAAAATTAAAACAGAACAAACAAAAAGCCTCCAACCAGCTTCTCGCGTAGTGCTTAAAAATTCCAAGGTAAAGTTCTGCTGCACCCCTTGCAGTGACTGCTCCTGGGAAGGTGGAAATAGCTGCTTAACGTGACCAAGGCCCTGGCCTTATTCTCCTGCATGGCCCTTCACCAGTAGAGCCTGGCACTGCAGTCATGGTGCCACAGCTGAGGTCCTGCCACCCCAAAAATAAGGGATGGAACCAACTCTCCAAATTCTTTCATCTCTGCTACTATGTGTTGTGGTATAGCCAAACTCTCACCTCTATGGTAGATGTCTTCAATAAAGCAATCTGGTCTTCTCTGGTGAGCTCCAGGAAGCCAGGCAGCTGCTTGGCAAAGTCCACAATCTCTTGCACAGAGATAATTGCAAGTTCAGTAAAGTGAGCAAAACGCTGCTGCCTCGCTTCACGGTTGTTGGGGTCTGGAACCTGGGGCCACGGCTGTGGGAAGAGGAAGAGACAACATATGTGTGAAAGATGGAGCCAGGGCAGAGAGATGAGAAGATGAAGTCAACAGAGAAAGAAAATAAGACTCGTTGGAACATCATCCTTTGCTATTCTTCACAGAACTTTAACCCACAGAAGCGACGCCTTAAGTATCTCTGCGCTCCCAAATAATTCCCCCGCAACCTTGACTCCCCAAACTGGACTTTTTCCCCATTTTGGGCAGACTGGGAAGGGTTTTTACCGTCACTTTGAGCCTGTCTGTGAAGGAGCGTTGGTTGCACTGCTGCTGGGCAGCCACCAGCTTCTTGATCATGCTGGACTGCTCCGGCGTCAGCTCGTGGGAAGGGCTCGGCGGGTTCAGAGGGTTTGGACGCACCACCACGGTCCGAGCCTGATTGTCCTCCTGCTTCTTCAGCTTCTTCAGCTGGATCTGCTCTTCAGACAGAACATCTGAAGCAGGAATAGCCAGAGATCAGTCGTGACACAGGAACCTTCCACATGAAGGGTGTACACAACAGGCACTGATATTGGTACTTGGTTTCTCCCTCTTTTCCCCCCTTTAAGTTGCTCTGTTGCTCTCCTTTTAATCATGCTGTCATGTAGTGTTCACTGAGGACAGAAGCTCCCTCATGACATCCCACTGATCTCAGAAGGACAACAGCAACCTTCCCCATTGACCAATTCCCCAAAAAGTACAAACAAACATCTCCAAAACATAGTATGGAGTAAAACAACTCAGAGGCACATGTTGTAAAAAAATCTTACTGGATCAATCACTAATTTAAATACAAAAACCTGTTAACAGCCTGTATCTAAGTTCACTGAAGAATTCACTGATTTGAATGTGGAGGAGGTTTCTTGTTTCTTTAAGTCAAAGCTGCAAAAAGAATCTGCAAGCTGCATTTTAAAAAATAAAAAAAAACAAACCAAAACCTACCAGATCTACCTGGACTCAAGGATTATCTTCAAGAGAATCATCTTGGGAGTTAGTGATGAACAAACAAAAAGCAGAAAAGGGACTGATTGGAAAAGAAACCCTATCTTCAGGATCAAAGGTTAAAAAACAAAGCTTGGCTTTGTAAACAAGATTTTAAAAGTGCTGGGAGATTCTTTGGCCCTATTTCACACACAGGCAACAAGGAAACATGGCTGCTGCACAGGAAGGTAGGCCCCAAAACTGAACAAGTATATACTTGCACTTCTCAGAATCATGTTAAACATGAAGACAAGAAATGGAAACTCTTGTGATAAGAGTATTCCAAAATGGATAGTCCATGAGATTTGGAAGGAAGACAAAGAACAGCACATTCAAGCTGAAAGGAATCTTGATCCCTGACCTCTGATGAGGAGGATGCATGCACAGGTACACACAGGAACAGATATTCCAATTCTAACAACAAAGACATTCAATACAATTACCAAATTAAGAGGGATTAAAGACTTAGAGAATGCTAATTGCAGTATTAATTTAATAAGGGAAGTAACTGATACAGCAATTACAATCCCTCATCTTGGCATTCAGATCCACAAAGAATTTATAGCCAAGCACCAAGTTATTACTGAATCTTGAAAACTGCCTATAAGTGCAATCTTCTACACCATGCTAAATGAAAAGCAACCTAAGATACTCAGTTTGCCAGGAAGGAACTATTTAACCTCATGGTTCATACTGGCTTAAGAACAACAAACTGCCCATGAATAACTTAAGTCTGGGAATTAGAAGAATGTTTCCAACAACTAGAAGGAAGTTATGCAATGACCTTCCAAGTGAAACAGCTGGAGGAAAAAGCCCTCAGTTTCTGTCAAGATTAACAAGGCAAATTTGCAGTGGGGATGACAGTGTTGACAAAAATCACCAAGCACTTGACAGTAAGAGCCCAGAGATTCCTGAGCAGTCTTCAACACTAGACAAATGAGTAAACACAGAAACACAGGGAGGCTCTTTACTATCTACCTGCAACAGAAAAGGAGCAAGGTGCACAGGCAGCCTTGCTATGCAGCTTGTAACAGATACATCTGTTTTGGAGCTCTCAGGAGCAGGGCAATGAGAGCACAAACAATGCTGATACAAAACTGTCATGAAGATGCTGCTTACAGATGTAAGGTGTCCTGTGTTTAATGTTGAAAAAAAACAACAAACAGCATGTTTTCTTGGTGCTAGTAAGTCCCTAAGTGGAACTTATTTTTGCAGGATCATTTTTATAAGGTGTTTCTGAAACGCCCTCTGTTCCTCCCCATTCTGGGTGTTGGATTTCAGAGAAGGAGACTTCAGACAGATTTAACATTAACCAAGCATTCATTTGGTCAGGATGAAACCTGGCTGCCTTGGCACAGGAGGGCTGCTACCGATACACCATCAGGAATGTTGTTGAGTATTCAGAAACCACAGGCTCGTGTGAGAAAAGCAGCGGAGCGTGTCCAGAGAAGGGCCACGAGAATGATCCAAGGGCTGGAGCAGCTCTCCTACGAGGACAGACTGAGAGAGTTGGGGCTGTTCAGTCTGGAGAAGAGAAGGCTCCGAGGTGACCTTATTGTGGCCTTCCAGTATGTTAGGGGGGCTACAAGAAAGCTGGGGAGGGACTTTTTAGGATATCGAGTAACAACAGAACTAGAGGGAATGGGGCAGAGCTGGCAGTGGGCAGATTCAGGCTGGATGTGAGGAAGAAGTGCTTCCCCAGGAGAGTGGTGAGACCCTGGAATGGGTTGCCCAGGGAGGTGGTTGAGGCCCCATCCCTGGGGGGCTTTAAGGCCAGGCTGGAGGAGGCTCTGGGCAGCCTGATCTAGTGGGAGGGGTCCCTGCTCATGGCAGAGGGGTGGGAACTGGGGGATCCTTGTGGTCCCTTCCAGCCCTGACAGATTCTGATCTGTTTTAGCAGAGGACTTTAGAGCCCTAATGGCTCAATGGTTGGACTTGATTATCTTGGAGGTCTCTTCCAACCTAAAGGATTCCATGATTGACTAAAGGGAGCACTGAGATAAACCCCGCACAAAACCAGCGGCAGCGCTGCGGGGCAGAAGGCAAAGGGAAGCACCTGTTCTCCAAGGAGCACGGCGACCAACAAGCCCCAGCAGCAAGCCAGACAGCAGCCCCAGTTTACTAACAGAGTGGAAGGACACACATCTCAGCCGCAACCCCTTCCTCTGATGTCACAAAACACCCCGAGGCGGTGGGCGGGGCCGGGCCTCTG